GGCTGATGTCCATTGATGTTCACTAGTTCACTCATTTGCTATTGTGAACGGTGCTGTTGGAGCTACCACACAGTTAGTCCTTATATATTTTGTAGGTGGGTGGTGAAGGGGCCTAAAATGCTCTGTTTGAAGCTGGAGTCTGATTGGAGGACAGGGTGGAGGTAGAGCGGATCGTCCACTATTTGAAAGGTTGGTGGTTCGATCCCTGGCTACTCCAGCGTGTGTGCCAAAGTGTCCTTGGGCAAAATACCGAAGCATTAGTTGCTCTGTGTGTTTATCGAAGTGTTAATGTGAGGTTAAAAGTGCTTAGAGAAAAGCACCTGTGTGGAAGAGACTGGTACTCAGGCACTGGGTTAGAAAGCACTGTGAAACACATACTCAGAGAAACCGAACATTTTTCAGCAGACACTCTTCTTAAGCCTCAGAACGAACTAAAATGTGCTTGCTGTGGATTCATGTAAACTCTGAGCTGAACCAAAGGTTGTTTTTTCAGAGGAGATGTCCACGCTGTAGCATCACGGTGCAGTCGTGTCGCGTTTCCGTGGTTAATCAGTGAGACGACTCCTCTACCAGAGGATCACACACTTTTCATCCACGTCAGATAATTTTCTCTATAAAACAGTGAAGCGATGGAAACATTAAGTGCTCAGGACTTCCCCGAGTCGCCACTCAGTGAGCTTATGTTGGAATGTCAGTCATGTGATTATTACAGACCGCCGAGAACGAAATTATAGAGCAGCCGCACACACGTGCTAACACATCAACACCAGCAGATCTGACCAATCGCAAACAGGCTGATGATCATCCCACTCTGATAGATGATTGACTGTCAGATCAATAACCTGCTCACTGTTTAACAGACCTCACGCACACACACACACACACGCACACACACGCACGCACACACACACACACACACACACACACACTGACTGTAACAGTATCTGATGAGGTTCCTTCCCACGAGAACCCGACTGGAGTGTAAAAATGCCCGAGGCGAGGGAGATCGGCATACACTGGCACACAAAGAGACATAAAGGTTTGGGAAAAAGAGGAACAATAAAAAGGAAAAAAGTAGGAAAACGGGTGAAAAAGAGCCTCGTGGAGACGAGGAAGAACAGGAATGTCAAGAGAGGGGAAAGAATGAAGGGAGGAGCTTAGGAGACGCTAATGAAAGGGGGAGAGAGGAGGAAACATTGTTTGAATGCTTCGGATGAGTTAGAGGTAAGAAAGACGAATAAAAGCACGAGAGAAGCTGGGAAACAAAAGCATAACGAGAAAGGGAAGAGGAGAAAAGCTGAAAGATGAATAGAGGAAGTAAGAAAGTGCATTAACAAGAAAAGGAGGAAGAAAAGGAAAGATGGAGATGAATGGGAGAAGATGAGAAAGGCAGAAACCGTAAAACAGAAAAGAGAAGAAAGAAAAGAAAAGGCAGTTTAGAGAGTCGAGGAAAACTTAAGGACGAGGGGAAAAATAAGCGGTGAGGACTTTATGAAAACTGTATGGAAGAGGACAGAGAAGAGAAGAAGAGGAAAGGAAAATGTGTGAAGGAAAAAAGAATGACGGGGGAATGGAAAACTGAGGACTGGAAAAAGAAGAGGAGGGAAAGAAAAGAGCGGGAATGAGGAAAAACCCGGCTCGTAAAATGAAGGGAGGAGTGCTGGGAAAGAGGAGGAAAAGTGGTCTGAGCAGCCTGGATGTCCATGGAAAAAATGGATATTAAAACCACAATAAAAACAGTAGAAACACGACTAAAGGATCAGCAGAAAGACACTAAAATTGACAAAAGTAGTGAAGAAACCTTCTGTGCTGTGTGATTTGGATTTTGTTCTGTATGTTTATGACGATTTTTTAAACCGTGCTTTCTCATTGGCTGTCCTCAGGTGGTGGGCGGAGCTGAAAAATGGCGGGTGCATCAGTGAAGGTGGCGGTGCGAGTCCGCCCGTTCAACTCCAGAGAGATAGGACGCAACGCAAAGTGTGTGATCCAGATGCAGGGAAACACCACCTGTAAGAATGACACACACACACACACACGTTCTGTCCTTTAAGATTTATGGGGCCCCTCGTTGAGACACTAACCTGAAGACGTCCTCACAGGATCTGGAACATACAGACGTCCTCAAAAAGATAAAGAAAGAAGAACAAATAAATTAGAAACCATAGAAATATATTACAAAGGTTTTTAGATAACGAGAGGCCTGTCACTGTCCTCATAATAAGACACAGCATGATGAGGACACACCACTGGCTAAGAGAACAGAGTTTTTATGATCACCATCTCATTATGATGTAATGAGGATTTTTATTGTGACCTTGAATCATAAACTGTGTATAACATGGATATAGCCTCTACACATATTAAAGCTTCAGGTGTAGCATTGTGGCAGCGCCCATGTTGGTGTTTTGGAGGTTAATCTTCTGTCACGAGCGTTAATGAAGTTAAAACTGACCTTCAATTTAAATGCTGTGAACCTGCTCGTCGCAGAATTAGCCATGAAAGTAGCTGTGACATCACTTTAATGTGACTAAAGAATAAAAAAGTCCCTGAACTGGAATAGAAATAGCAGCATTTAGCTTGAAGCTAACAGTCACTATTGATTTTAATAAATAATGCTGATGCTCTCCTTACCTAACCCTTCTGTGGGTTAGGGGCTTTTATGGCCTCAAAGTTCCCATGGGAACGTCATGTGACGTCTGATCCTATTGCTGCATAAACTGACAGACACACACAGCCTGTTTATTAATAGACTTTGCTGCAGCAGGGCTGTTATTAGCAGCTGTGTGTCCATCTGACAAATACTTATATGCAGAGCCCGTCATATATTCTGTGAATGCTGGGAGTGGTCACATGCAGATATCCCCACTTCAGTAGTGACACTTTGTTGCCTCCACATTTGAAAGTGAGGAGAAAAGAAATAAAACTGGAGTGTGTCCGCAGACTTCTCGTCATGCAGTGAAGGTTGTTTCTTTTATGATTCTTTCCAGGCATCTCCAATCCCAAACAGCCCAAAGATGGAGCCAAGAACTTCACCTTTGACTACTCTTACTGGTCACACACAACGGTGATAACACACTCTCTCTCTCTCTCTCACACACACACACACACACACACACACACACACACACACACACACACACAGAAAACATCAATAGTATAACCCAAAATCAGTGATAACAGTGTGTTTGTGTCCCTGCAGCCCGATGACCCCGGCTTCACCTCTCAGACACAGGTGTATAAGGACATCGGAGAGGAGATGCTGCTGCACGCCTTCGAAGGTAAGACTGAACGCCCTCTCAGAGGTCAAAGAAGAGCCCGACCTCTATCTGCTAAAATGGAAATATTTTTTTTATTAAATTCTAAATTATTTTGGCGGTTTCGGTCCTCCACAGTCCAGCTCCAACTATGTAGCTAATGAGACTAATGGTGACCAGTAACAACGCTGATACTTGTTACTCTACTGATACTGATGTGTAAAATGATACTGTTGTTGCTGATGATGA